CCAGCTTGTCCAAGGACACACACTAGGGGTATGAATCCCAGGAGCTGGGGTCTGCCCAGCAGGGTATGGAGGACCCCATCGGGGTCAAGGCAGACTCCTCCCCAGGACCTCCAACTACGTTCCCCCTCAGACCTCTGTGAAGCCCAGGGTATCTGTGACCAGGCCCTCTGCCGGACAGATCCCACCTCCCCCAGGGCAAGATTTGCCTCCACCTTCGGATCCCCAGGTTAGCCTTGCCTCCTCTCAATGACTCAGACCCCCAGGCAGATGGCTCACTTCCATGACTTGGCCTAGTGTGCCCATCAGATGTCCCACATCAGCGTGGGCATCGCGCCAGCTGTAGCCACCCATGCTGGGGTCCAGAAAGGACTGCAGGGCCTCCGTCGGGTCTGGGCCTCCTGGTCCTGGCTGCCACCCCGATTTGTCCGGCCTTTGAAGGAGCCTCTGGGGGGTGTCAGGTGAGGAAAGGTCTGTATCAGGCACCCCTTCCTGTCTGTGGGGGCCCATCTGCCCTCCCACCACAACTTTCAACTTCCACCTCCATGCCCTGACCCCGCATGGCACCCCCACACCGTGGACCCTCACCCTAGCCCACCTGCAGAATAGCCACATTGGCACTGTTGTTCATGAAGTCAAAGAGTTGGGGTCCCAGCACCCCCCAGACCTCCTGGATATCCCTCAGCAGAGCCAGCTCCTCGAAGGTCCGGTTGACCTGCAGGGAGGCAGCACAAGACCCGTCCTGGCCCTTCCCACTCACCACTTGCCACCCTCTGGGGACCCCTGCTGAATCCTGGCCCCGGGGCCCTGCTTCCATCTGTGCCTCTGAGCCTGTACCTGCTGGTCTCTGACGGCCAACAAACTCATACTTCTTCAGAATGCAGCTTCCGAGACCTTCTGGCCTGGCTGTGACACACCTGGCCAGATACCGGGTGGTGTCTGGCCACTTCCCTCCCGCCTGGCACAGTGCCCTCACCTGGGCCATGAGCTGCCGCGTGAAATTCGTGTCAGGTGCAAATAGCAGTTTCCCCAGGATCAGCGGTTTCAGGCGCCTCCAGAGCAGGCGGGACAGTGGGTGGTCTCCCAGAGCCCCCATCAGCTCAGAGCAGGCAGGGCCTGGGGTGGGGGTGCTGTGAGGCCTTGCCCTCTGCCCTCTGCCCTCCGCCCCACTTCCCAGGTGGGGAAACAGGCCATTCACTTACTCAGGCCTTTGTCCGGCAGGTTTGGTGCTGGGTCCTGCCCCACCAGCTCCCTCAGGTCGCCAGCCTCGTACCAGTTGAGGGAGAGGCCCCCTGGGCTGCTAGGCCCCTTAGCACTGCAGAGGGCTTCTGACACCAGCTCCAGGGGGCCACCTGTCCCTCGGGGTCTCTGCAGCAGACTCCGAAGCTCCACCAGGCTGGGCAGCACCAGGAGCTAAGGCAAGGTCAACAGAGAGCACTGGCCATCCTCCCACAGCACCATCCATCTCCAGGCCTTACCCAGAGCAGGGACTCTGCCAGGAGCACCTGAACCCTCAAGAAATGTGCCCAGGCCATCCATCACCACCCCAACCCGGCTGGGGTCAAGGCTGGGTGGAGCCTCACCTCCTGGGCCAGGTCTTTGACTGCTTCCACAAAGCTGTCCATGGACTCCTGGACATGACCCAGGGCGCCCCCCAGGGATTCCTGTGGAGGAGACGGCAAGAACACCAATGGCCTCCTCTCTTCGTCCATCAGGTCTGTAGAGGCCCAGACCAGCACTTTACAAACAGGGAACTGAGGCTCTGAGAGGTACAGAGCCCAAGCTTCAGAACGGCTTTCCCCAGCTCCCCGCCTCAAGCCTCCCAAAAGGGGGGAGCAAGACAAAGTCAGGAGAGGCTGAGAGAGGGGGAGAGCACGTTCAGGAGTGGACTTGTATTTGGGAAGATGCTGTTCTTAGAATGTTCTGTCCAGAAAAGGCAGAAGGGGTAGGATTACAAGGGAGAACCCCAGTGGGCACACCTCCACCTGAAGCCACGCCTTGCTCTCCGAGCTGGGACCACGCCCAAGTCACTACGACATGCAGTGATTGGTCAGAGCCCCACGCTTCGGGACTGGAAGGCGTGGTCATTCAGAGCGGCTTCCCACAGTCCAGGACTTGTTCAGTGCACCCTGGAGTCTCCACCACCATGCTAGACAGGACAGGGGACACTGACTGCTCCAGGGGCCAGGCGCAGCCCTGGCAGGAGGCTGGAATCAGGCCCCTGCATGGTGAGCACTGAGGCTCCCTGAAACAATGCCCCAGAGGCCGCTGCTCCCACCCAGCCCTGCCTCACCTCCGGCAGCAGCATCCCCAGAAGCTCAGCGGCCAGTGAAGGACGCTCCTGCTGCCAGTCAGTCTGTGGAGGCCAGGCTGGAGGAAGGACACACAGAGGCACAGGGTTGGCAAGCCTCTCCTGAAACACCCCACTCCACCAGGGCCAGGCAGGCAGGCTGGGGCTCAGCGCTCAGCCCTCAGGGGCCCTCCCTACCTCTGCTGCTCATTGCCCTCAGCAGGGGCATCAGCTTTCCCAGGCCAGTCAGTGTCCTCTGGGCACTGGGACCCCCCAGTACAGTGCGTGCATCGGCCAGGAGCCGAGAGACCCTGGGGACAGAGTAGGGGAAGGAGGTGGGGTTTGGGGGGCACTCCTGGAGCACTGAGCCCATGGGGGCCCCACCCCATGCCTCTTGCTCACAGGGAGTCATTGAAGTTGCTCAGGAGCCTGGGATTTTCACCAGGCGTTGGCTGCGGGAAGCAGGAGTTGTTCACGTTGCAGATGAGGCCCTGGAGCCAGGGCACAGTGCCCGCGGACGGCAGTGGCTTGTTGGGGAAGTGGCCTGTGGGGAGATGCCAGCTCTGCCCACCTCTGCACCACCCCGCCACTGCACACCTCTAGCAACAGAGAGCTCCGCTGCAATCCTTGCAGCGGCTGCCCCTGGGCGGATGGGGTGGCCCATCGCTCCTCCCCAGACAGTGTCTGGCCACGGGGACTCACATTCGTGGTGCTCCAGTGGGGGGTGGGAGTGGCGGACAGCCACCAGGATGAAGAAGAGGAAGAGGGGCCACAGCAACTCGACCAGGAGCTGGATCTGAGCAAAGAATGGGTGGGAGATTGTGAGCCCACGGGGGACACCTGCCCAGCCCGCCCTGTTCCGCACCTCGGGGCAGTAGCGTACCGGCTGTCTCTTGCGATACATGAAATTCTTCCAAAGCAGCAACATCAGCTGTGTCCGGAAAGCCATGGTGAGACTGAACAGGGACGGAGGGGTCGGGACAAAGGTCAGAAGCGTCAGTCTGAGGACGTGCTGTGTGGCTGCCGACAACTGCCTGCGCCTCTCTGAACCCGTCTCCCATTCGACCCTGCAGGGCTCCCAGAAGTTCGGACCGAGCCAGGTGAAGAGCAGGTACTAGATCTAGGGACGCTCCTCGACCCAGAAGGAGTAAGCCAATGGGAACCCTGCCCGAAGCCGTCTTCGCAACCGATTGGTTGCCAGGGCTGTCGCTCTTAGGGGGCTACCGGCTGGGGTCAGAGAAGACCCTCCTGAATTCTTAAGGGGCGGAGCCTCGGCTTAACGCTTTCACTCCCAGGCCCCACCCCCAGGCTGTTTGCAGGTCCCATCTCCGCCCCATCCCCCAGACCTAGGCAAGGTTCCCTTTGGCCCTGTCGCCCAGTGATAACAGCAACGAATACTCACTGTGTTGGGCATGTCACACGCCCTGCTGGCAGTACTAGATTCTACTTCAGAAGTGGAAACTGAGCCCAAGAAGGGGCACGTACAGCGGGAGACCGAGCCCAGCTCTCCACCGCATCATGTATCATCTCTCTCCCAGAGCGCGGAGAGGCTCCAGCAACACCTGACCCTGTATTTCTCTAGGGACTGTTCAGCTCTGGGCTACTTTCTTGCACAAATGGGGAAACTAAGGCGCCCAGAAAGTCGGGAAGTTGCCAAAGGCCAACATCCATCTGGGGACTAGGACCTGGGACCGCGCGACCTCCACCTCCTCGCCAGGATTCTTTCTTAAGCAAGTGGCTTTTGGGATCTCTGGGGACCAACTCATTTACAAAGGGGTGGGGCTGGGATCTCTAAGTAGAAAAGGCACTGCAGGTGTATGTTGGCAAAGGTCCTCTCAAGTGACCCCCATGCCCACTTCTTCCTACTGAGCTTTAGTGGTCAATTCAGCGCCCCCAACACTCCCAGGAAGGAAAGGAAGGGTGAGTGGGATCGGAGCTCAGCCAGTACCTCTAATTCCCAGGGAAATTTGCCTTCCTCCCACCCCACCCCCACATTCTCGACTGTCGCCAGACAGTCCTCCTCTCCCGGTCCCCCTCACCGTTCCGGCCTCCAGCTCTGGCCCGCCTTCCCTCTGCTGCCAGGGGGCGTGGCCCCTTTAAGAGAAGTCCCCTCCGCAGGCTCAGCCCCGGCAGGCTCAGCGCCCCCCCCCACCCGCGGTTTACCGCCTTTGGCGTCCTGGTGCTCACGGCCGCGCCCTACACGCCCCGGCCCCGGCCGCTGCCATTGGCCGCTGTGCCCGCCAGTCATTGGCAGGCCCCACCGGAGCCCGGCGCGCGGAGGGTTAGGGCGGGATCACAGCGGGGCTCCCCAGCCGGCTTTCTTAAAGGGGCCGCGCGCCTCTTGCTGCGTCACTTGCGGGTGGCAACGCCACTAGTTCTTCCCACGGGGCCGGGCAGGGGACTGTCCCTGGGGAGCCTGGCTGTCTGTCACGTTGCATAATCCCCTGTAATACCAAGGCCCCCGGTGCAGGAGACCCTCTTCCCGTCTCCTGGAGTTCTGGGTTTCCCAAGGTGGTGCTGGCTGGCTGGAGGGTGTGGATCCGCAGCCAGGAGGTGGCCTTGGGCCGGAGGGAGGCCGAGGTGAGGACCAATGCAGAGCAGAGAGGGCAGGGGCAGAGGCGGCAGGCCTCCACTGCCAACCCACACCCCGCTCCCCACACCCCGAGGGTGAAGCTGTAAACCCGACCCTTACCACCCAACTCTCAGCACCCTCTTTTCTTATAAACAGAGGTTTTTATTGCTTTTGGTCCGCACTGGCATTTCACATTATCTCAATGTCCAGGGCTCCTGGGTGGGGGTCATGTGCAGTAGGAGGTGAGGGATACTAGCTAGTGGACCCAGAAGGGGAATCGCTGCAGGGGAGGTCTTTAAAATCTGCAGGACCTGAGGGGAGGGGGACCCTTGGTGAGGGGGGTCTGGTTTTCCCCAACCACTGAGATTCAATGTCCTGTCAGGGCCTTGGTTTCCCCGCTGGGCCCCTGGAGAGGACCCAGGGCTGTTGATCTTATAGGAATGTGGTCCCTCAACATGTCTAAAACATTTAAGGGCTACAGCCTGGACCCCTCCAAGGAGGCCCATTTCTGAGCACTCCCCTCTACCATCCCCTCCCCATCCTCCTGAAAAAAAAAATAAAAAATATCGTTTTCTTTGGTTAAAACTTCCTGAAACTTCAGCTGGTACAAAACCCACAGGCGTAGGGGGAAGAGATGAGGAAACCGGAAGCCATGGGGGGGGGCACCTTCCCGGCTGCCCCCCTCCCCCCTCCCCCCCTCTCCCCCATAAAGCTAGGTCCACTGCCCCTGGGGAATCTGCTCCGGGGTGTCCCGAGGACCCCCACCGCTGCAGGGGCACTGCCTTCCCCCAGCTCAGTCTGTGAAACCCGAGCAGGGAGGGAAAAGCCCTGGCCCCCCACCCAGCTGCCCAGACCTGCCTGGCAATGCTTTAAAAAAGAAGCAAGAACCCAGAAACCCCCCAGAGCCCAGGTGGTGCTGCTGCCGGCAGGGGACCCAGCACACGGGGGGGGGGGGGGGGGGGCTCAGCAGCCAGCCTCTTCCAGGTAGGGGGGACATTCCGGGGCCTCCCCAGGGCAGTCGCTGGTGCCCACCGCACCGCCATCTGCCACAGGGCCTTGTGGGCAGTACTTGGGGTCGTATATCTGGCGGCCCAGGCCAAAGACCTGGCCACTCTGGCTGGCCCCCTGTGTGTAGCCCATCTGCAAGGACATGGAGGAGCTGTCACACCTGTGCGTCCCCAGCTTGGTGTCATAGATGTGCCGCCGGGTCCCAGGCGCAGTCATGCCCACCTGCAGAGGGGGAGCGGGCCTCAGGGGAGGAGGGAGGGGCCTTCCCATGGTCTCCCCCTGCTGCCCATCCAGGCCCAGGACCCCCACTGGGCCCCCCAACCTCAGTAGACACTTCTGACTATGAGAGGGATTCTAGGCTGCCAGGCACCTGTCCCTTGCTCAGCCCTGACTACTTAAAATCAGGAATGTCCACCTTCCCCTTGACAGCCTCCGGCTGGGACTCAGGCCTGCTAGGACCTGAGGGCGCCAAACCCATCACACTGGACAGGTGGGACTGACTGGGCAAAAAACATGAGAGTCCCAGATCTAAGAGTGTCAGTACTGAGGGACCCTAGGGCACAGAGCGGGGCTGTCACTTCCCCAGGCACACACTGCAAGGGGACAGCGGGGGTTCAACAGGCAGGAGGGACAGGAGAGAAGGCTGAGCTGGCCGGCAGGGGGCCAGCCGAGGCTGCGGGATGGCCCACCTGGCTGGCACACTTGTTGGTGCCCATCTGCAGGCTGATGGTGGAGTGGTCCATAGGTGGCAGGATGTGGTTCTTGGGGTCATAGAGATGCCTCCTGGTGCCATACGCTGTCATGCCTGACTGACTGGCGCACTTGTTGGTGCCCATCTGCAGAAAGTGGCTGGAGAGGTCAGTGGTCCCTGCCAGGCCTCCAGACCCTCAGGAGGTCAGGACCTTGGGGGACATCTGGTGCCCACCTGCAGCCCGATGACGCACTGGCCAGCCTTCATGGTAGCATCATCAAAGTTCCGCTGCTGCCTCTCAGAGTACTTGACCCCGATGTCCACACTGCTCTGCAGCCCTTTTGTCTTGGCCTGGGGTGAGGGGAGGGGGCAGGCACAGGGACACAGACACCTGCCCAGCTCCACCTCCTCCTGCCCAGCCTCCTCCCCTCAGAGACCCCAAGCCCCTTCCCACGCAGGAGCCTGGCCCCAGGCTCAGCTTGCAGACCACCGGCTCCTGGACACTGAGGACACGTCTCAGCCTGCAGCAGGTCCAGGACTGTAGGACCCCTTGGCTGCCCCGGCACCAGACTGTGTCTCTGGCCGAAGGAGGGCGGTGCTGGAGCCTCAGGGCTGCTCAGAACCAAGTGCAAACCCAGGAAACGAAGAGCCTCCACACACAGACCCCCCACCGCGCTCCCCTCCAGCCTCACCTTCCCAGCCAGTGCCAGCAGGGCCACCTGGACCTGCGTTATGTTCCCACTCTCAAAGAGGTCGTTGGCCTCGAACAGGTCCACGGGGTTCATGCCGTAGCTGACCATGGCCTTGATGAAGTTGGAGAGGTTTTCTAGCTGGGAGGAGCCAGGGGGAGGACAGTGAGTGGGCCCGACCCTCTGACATGGCCGCTGCCCGGCCCCTCCACCAGCCAGCCCTCACCTGGTGCCAGTTCTGCATGGAGTGGTTGATCTTGGGGACAGAGCCCGGCTGGAGCTTATTCATGAGCCTGAGAGGAGGGACACGGTGGGGCAGGAGGGCCGCCAGGTGAGTGGTCACCTTCCTGGGCAGCTTCAGCCCCTTTCTTCACAGACCGCACCTCTGCCCAGCAAGCCCAGCTGCTACAGGAGAGCCCTGGTGGTACAGCCTGAAGCCCTGGGTGGGGGGGAATCTGGGACCCGCCATTGCAATGTGTTGTGTGCAAATCTGGAGCTCTGAAGGGGACAAACAGGGTGCTGGGAGCCAAGGCCCCCCGCAGCCCTACCCTGGGGTCACAGCAGGGTGCCTGGCCACACGCCTGTCAGCCCAGCTGCCCAAGCGACTCAGGCAGGAGGCATGAGTCTCAGGCCAGCTCAGCCGGGAGCCATCTGCTCAGTGCTGGGCGCCTGCCGGCACCCAGAGACCTGGCTCCCGAAACAAGAGGAAGAGAAGCAGGAGCAACTGGGACCCTCAGGAGGGCAGCTTGGGCCACGCGGGGTGCCCCGGCAGGGTGCACTCACGTGCATAAGATGACCCCATCCTTCAGACCCTTCTGGAAGTCGGGGCCGATGGAGAGGCCCGTGAGAGCCTCGATCCAGGTGCGAAGCTCTGCCTCCTTCTCAGGGTCGTATTTGGACAGGAGCTGGAGGACCAGAGGGCACTGGGCTGAGCCGCGAGGACGCCCTGCAGAAGCCTCCAGATGGGGAGGACAGGGGCTCCAGGGGAAAAAGAGACAGAGGGGCCTGGAGGTTCCCACCCTGTGGGAGCAGACTTGTCCAGGCTCCCCTGGTGACAGTGGCCTGGCTCCACCTCCAGGCCCTGGACCGGCCGGTCCGACCCCCACATCTCACCACCTCACACGTTCCAGTCACCACACCCAGGATGCTCACGATGGTGTGCGGCCGTCACCACAGCCGATTCCAGAACATTTCATCTCCCCAAATAACCCTGTCCCCCATGCCCCCGGCTGGCTCCCTGAGTCCACTGCCAAAGTCTTGGACTCTCCTGTCCTAGCCTCATCGGGCAGAGTCACACGCTTGTATCTAGCTCTCACCAAGCAGAGGACCTCGGGTCCCCCACGCTTCAGTGCATCACCTGGCTCTCGGTCGTGGCGGAGGGACACTCCAGGGGGATGGACCACTGTATGCGTCCATCCATCTGCTGGTGGACGTTTGGGCTGCTGCCTTTCAGCTGTGTGGATATGGCTGCTGGGGACAAGGTGCGGTTCCTTTGGCCACCTGTCCTCACACTCCTGGGTGTGCACCAGGAGAGGAGCTACCTGTCTGGGTCACTTATTGGGGAACGACTGGATTCTGTTTCTGGAACCAGCTGTGCCGGCTCCTGCCCCAGGGCCTTTGTACAGACCGTTGTGCTGACTCAGGTGCTTTGTGGCCAGGCTTGAAACGTCCCTGACGGCCCAGCTGCCATGCCACCACCCTGCCTTCCCCGCTTGCTTCATGCCCGACCAGCCTTCACCTCCGCCTCCCTCCCTGGGCGCAGCTCCTGGCTCTCTGGTCCTCCCCCTGCATGCCTGCTGTCAGCCCAGGACAGAAAAGCTCCGACCCCACACGCACTGCCCTCCACCCAGGGCAGCGCCTCAGACCAAGAGAAAAGCCGGGACGAGAGGCCGGCAAATCCAGGCAGGTGTGTGGCAGATGCCGCCAGCCCCAGGGCAGCTCCTGAGAAGCTGATGCTGGCCCTTGGTCAGGACTGTCCAGCTGCGTGGTTTGTGCTACAGATGCCTGTCCTCCTTTCTCAAGAAAGAAAAGGGCCCCTTTCTTTCCTCTGCTCCTACACCCTCAGGGGTCCAGGAGGATGGCGTAAGTGTCCTTTGCAGACCTGACTTCCCAGGTGACCGTGGGCAGATGTCCCCCTCCCAGCCTCAGTTTCTGCCTCTTAGCATGGGACAAGCTGCAGAAGGGTCCTCTGCGATGCGCCCCACTTCCTGGCTCCTGCCTCAAGCCCTGTGACTGGGATCAGGACCTGGCTGCACAGGGCACTCAGCAGGAGGCCTGTGAGTCCACCCGCCTGCCCCCGCCCCTGGTCTCCAGGTTCCCACGCCCTGGGGCAGCCTTTGGAAGGGGGGCGGCTGCAGGCGGTGATCTCCAGGCTGAGAAGCCTGTGGGGCACCAGGCACGCCCTACCCAGCTGGGCCCTGTCCCTGACCACTCTGGTGACCACGGCTCCAGGTCCAGCCCTGCTCACAGTGGCCTTCCTCCCTGGCCACGGGCCTCCCACAGCACAAACTTCTCACCACAAACTGCCAGGAATGTGGCTGTGCCGCCCTGCTAAATCAGGACCAGCTGTTCCAGGCAGTCCAGGCCTGGCGGCCAGCTGGGGTCCTATGGCACAGCTGATCAGAGACACACTGGATGCTCGCCTGCCCCAGCACGGTCTGGCCAGGGTGGACCAGGCATGGGGATCGTCCCTGGGAGGACGGTGTGTGCTGCAGCCTCAGCCAGTTTGCCTCAGGGTGGGCCCTTCAGTGCCCTGCAGCCTGGTCAGCACAGCGCCCATCCTCCAGTCCAACAAACCGAGGGCTGGTCACAGGGAGCCGCCGGGCTGCTCCTTTGGCCTGCGGCCTCACCCCTCCAGAGCAGTCCTGAGCTGCCCAGCCCAGGGTCTCAGAGGACTGCGCCTCCCCCCGTCTCTGTCCATGTAGACCGCCCAGGAGAACCAGGAGTCCAGGGTCCACTTGTGCCTGGGCAGCAGGAGCAGCCTCTCAGGGCCTTGCCGTGCCTCTGCACCCACAGGCTGCACCGGTGGGGACCCCAGAGTTGGCACAGGGTGTGCCGGGAGCCCGTGGGCCTCAGTCTCCCTGCTGTGAAGGGCAGGGGAGGACTGGAGACCCCGGCGACTGCTGGAGGCTGGTGGGGGCTCCCTTGGCCTGCCCAGGCAGGTTCCTGGCCAAGGCCGGGGCCAGGGAAGACAGCTTCCTCCAGCTGACAGGGCCCCAGAGCCTCAGCCCAGGTGGGTCGGGGTCACCCGCCACGCGCCCTTCCCCTCCTTCCTTAGGAGCCCTGCTGTGTGACCCTCTAATGGTGTCTGCCCCTCTGAGCCCAAACTAGAAGCGGGTCTTAAGGTGACCTCCGGGGCCCGGCTCGGGGTTTCCAGGGGAGGAGGCCCACACGTTTGGGGCCGGGTGCAGGGGATCTAGCTGCCTCGGGTGGCTCCTGGGCCCCAACTTCCTCCTTCGCCCCCCTCCCAGGTGTTGGAGGCCTGGAAATTCCTGGGGGGCTCCTGGGGGGGGGTCCCCGGCCCTTCTCAAACCCGCCGGCCCCGCCCCCTTCCCCGAGCCCGGCAGAGGAGGGGCTGGGGGTCCCCGCGGACGCCAAGGGCCTTCTGGACGCGGGGCGCGGGGCGCGGGGCTCTGTTCCCCGGACGTCGGCGCCCCGCGGCCGCCCGCGCGACCCTGCCCGACGGCGCGGCCACTCACCCGGCTGCGGACCTCGGCCGAGAGCCCGTACGCGGGCCCCTTGTTGAACTGCGAGGAGCTCATGGCTGCACGGCCACCGCGGGACTGATGGGCGCCGCCCCTCCGCCCGGGCCGCCCACTGGGCGCCGCGCCTGCCCTTATAAGGCCGTCACCCGCCGGCCGCCCCGTCCGCCCCGTCCGCCCGCGGGAAACTGAGGCCCGAGGCCGGCGCCTGGAGGAGTCGGCCAGTCCTGGGGCGACCCGGGAGGAGAGGGGCAGATGGGCAGGTGGGCAGCTCCCGGAGGCCGCCGGCCGGGGCGCCCCGTAGGAGGAGGGGCTTCGCACGGGCTGCGAGGGAGCCGGCAGGTGGCAGAGCGGAGCGGGGAGCCCGGGGCTGTACCCCCCCCCCGCCCCCCCGGCCGGGACCCCCGCGGGCCGGGTGCTCGCGCTGTCCAGTGGACAGCAGAAGGCACAGACTCGGCGCCGTTTGCTTCCTCACCCCTGAGTGTTTGCCAGAGGAGCCCTGTCTTCAGGGACAGCCCCTCAATAGGCCAGACGCAGCCAGGCACCCTACCCACCCTCTCCCCTTTGAGGAGAAGCCAGCGGAAGGAAGGGCCTAGGTCTGGAGCAGTCTGGAAGGAGAGCGGGGGACGATAAAGAAAGGGCTGACAGGGGCGTGGAACGTGGGGCTTTGAGGCACTAGTAGGAGTTGGACACATCTGATAAGTGACAGGTTGGGCTTCTGGAGTGACCCCTTCCCATTCCCAGGAGGGGACTCCCCCATGATGCTCTGCTCCCTGGATGTCTGTCTCCTCTTTTCTTATCTGTCATTGTCCCGTTTCATCTGAGTTTGGCTCCTTGCCAGATGGTTTCGGCAAATCCTTTCCTTCCTGGGTGTCAGTCTGATCGTCTGTAAAAGGGGGACCAGTGGACAGTGGGGGAATCAGCAGGCATCTCTGAGCCGGGAACAGCCTAGTTTATTGGTGTCCAGACAGGGCATGGACTGTGAGGGTGGCCCTGTGCAAGTCCACCCGCACCCTACGATCCGTGGCTTCTCGGTGCTGTGGTTGCAGGCCCAGGAAAGGCGCGGACAGCATCTGCCCAGCGAGTGCCCCGCGGCACCTCAGGGCCTCCGTCCGTCTCACATCCCAGCCCCTGGTGCTTGTCCAGCACCTCCAGCAAGCCGGTGGGACTCCATCCTGGGCCGGCTCAGAAGGGGGGCGGCCCGGGATGCCCGCCGTGCCAGCCTGCAGCAGGAGGTGCAGAGCAGCAAGGGGTCCGTCCGGGAGGGGCTGGCTGGGGCCCCTGCAGAGAGGAACTCTGGGTGGCTCCAGACCCCAGAACTGCCCTTCGCAGCCCCCCAGGCACCACAGCTCCTGGACCCGCCTGGGTCTCCTCATGACGCAAGGCCACCTCCCAGGCATCCAGAGGCACCCAGATACAGTGAGCGGCTTAGACCTGGGCCAGCAGGACAGAAGCCCCTCCTGCGTTGTGTGCCCTGTGGCCGCCGGCGTGAGGGCCGCTGGGTCTGGCTGTGTCCCCTGGCAGTGCCCCGGCCTGAGCTTCCGGGGGCCACAGGGGCACCCCCAGCTGGATTTCCTAATCAACCCTAATTGTGAGTGAGAAGGACCCACCTGGCTCTGGCACCTTCAGGCACACTGAGACAGGCGGGTCCTGCCTGGGTTTCCTCTCCCTGTGAGTTTTATGAACCCTAAACAGGCGTGAGAAACCGGGGTGCGCTGTGGGGGGGGGCGCGGGTTCTGAAGGCTGGACCAGCCCTTAGCTGACTGCACGCGGTGGTGAGGGTCTGATGTGAGAGCCACAGACATGCTTGGCGTGGTGTTGGGGACGGGCCCAGGGCCTCTGGGGGGCTGGGTGACGCTGCGCCCCGGAGCCACACGCCAGCCCTGAAGTGGGTCATCCAGGCTGCTCACCTCGCCTCAGTCCTTCCTGTGGGCCTCCCCGAAGGCCGGGGGAGGCTGCCCAGCGCTGGAAGCTCTGCTCCGCTTTCTCAGGCCTGTGAGCTCAGCATGGCCTTCGCAGTAAGTCCTCCAAGGAAATCCAGGCTGCGCTGCGCAGCGCCCGCACCCAGCGCCGACCAGGCCCGCTGGGCACTGCTGCAGGCAGCCTCGCAGGCAGAGCCGGCCTGGCCACTTGTGGGGCTGAAGACACCGCCTGGCTGGCTGTGTAGAGGGCACAGCTGGAGGTCCTGGGGTCCTGGCACTTCAGAATGCTACCACTCTAGAAACGGAGACCTCAGACTTATCAAGGACACTCTTCTGTGTGATCTCCAGACTCCGAAGCTTTCTAGTCCCATGGCAAAGCCTGGGTTCCACTCCTGCTCCCCACTTGACTGTGTGACTTTACAAAATCACTCCACCTCTCTGTGCCTCCCCTTCTGTAGAAGGGGTGTGATAACACCTGCTGGCGGGGCTGTTGTCAACATGCGGTGGGTCATTGGTGAAGCCCTCAGAAGGCGCCCGGCGGGGTGAGAGGGCTTGTGGAGTCCGTAGCTGTCCAAAATCTCGGGAACACCGGCCAAAGAAACCTGGCAGGGCCCAGGGACTTCCGGGCTTTCTCTGTGGGGACTCTGTGGCCACCTTGTTCACCTTAAACCCCAGCGTGTGCTGCTACCCTGTGGGGCTGGCGCTGTAGGTGGCAGTGTGGCGACCCTGCAGCAGCCACTCCAGGGACAGCCTGGGTGCGCTAGAGGGTCAGGTCAGAGCAGCCTGCGCTGGCCTGGCCACCGGGCCGTGCCTGCTCCCTCCAGTCTGTCGGTGGCCAGGCCCTTCTGGGCACACAGGCAGGAGGCCCCAGAATAGCGGTGGGCGTGGCCAACGCGCAGGAAGCCGCCCTCCCTCGAGGCCGAGGGCCCTGGAGGCCAGCCCGGGCAGGTGAGGGGCCCCGTCTCAAGGTGAAGGAAGACACGAAGCGCTGGGGATGCAGCTCCTGTTGTGGCTGCTCTGGTTTCCTCCTCCCCTGTCCCAGACCCCAACCCAAACCGGTAGATGGCCACAGGAGCCCCAGAGGGCGCTCCCCACCCGGGGGGCCTGGAAGGCCGCCTTCCACGGTCCGCGCCCCAGGCTGAGGAGCCGCCACCGCGCCTTGAGTCCCGGCACCGCTCGGCTCTCCTCCCTGCGGACTGCGCCCTGTCCCTGCAGGTCCCAGAGCCCCGTGAGGGCCCGAGAGGCCTGCAGTGGTCACAGCTGTGTCCCTGATAGGAGCACAGGCAGTGGACACTGAAACCCATTTCCCCAACCCTATGTGCCTCTGTTCGCCACAGGCCTGGGTGACGAGTTGTCCCACGGGGGACAAGCGCTTGAGCGGCTCTTCCTCTCCAGTGCTGGTCCAGGCCACCTATGGTGGCCAACTGCCTGGCTTTGGAGGGTGGGGTGGAATAACTGGCATACAGTAGGTACTCAATGAATGCTAGGTCCAAGGAGTCTCCAGGTTGCCTGAGGTGTCCACCAGGCTGGGACACTAGTCCGTGCCCGGGAACAGGGTGGGGTTGGGGCTGTGCAGGTGAGGCCCAGTGGGCGTGTTCCAGCGCTAAAAACGCCTGGACTCTGCAGCACGTCCAGGGCCAGCTAGGCGCAGCCTGGTCTTGGCCTGCGGTGTCCTGCCCACCTGTCACCCCAAAGACCGAGGAGGTACCATAGCACGCAGCAGATGCACCCCGGGACCGCCTGACAAGGGGAAAAGGGGAAGGTTTCTACAACCTGTAAAGGGCAGAGTTGGGAATTGGCAAACGCAGCAGGGTCCGGGCAACACAGCTTTATTCTCAGGCATGCAGCAGGCGCTAGATAATTGCTTCTGCCAAGCATTGTTGCGCCTAAAGGACGCAGCACATAGCTCATCCTATTCGCGGATGTAGACGTGTAGGTGGGGCAGCCCCTATGACGCTCTCGCCTCGCCCTATGAGGGCATGGCATCCTCACAGGAGGAGGGTGTTCAAAAATATGGAACGCTTCACGAATTTGCGTGTCATCCTTGCGCAGGGGCCATGCTAATCTTCTCTGTATCGTTCCAATTTTAGTATATGTGCTGCCGAAGCGAGCACAAGCCACTGTGTGGCGCTTCCGTTATTTAAAGCCCCCAAAGCAAAATTACTTTACAGTTAGGTGCCTTTTGGACAGTTTATATGTACCACCACTTCTCAGAATGGCCTTTGGAAAGATATTCGTTGTGATCATGTTTACTTTGCGTTTCTCGGATCATGTCCCAAAGTCGTCACAAGTGGACTAACTTAACCGACCGAGAGCGGCCTTGTAGCCGCGGAGGCTTGTGGGAGGGCCCATGCAAAAGAACTCGGGCGGGGCCTCCGCGGGCGGCCACGGGCATCCCAGGATGCCCCGCGCACGCGGCGGCGCTCTGGCCTGTGCGCTCGCTAGCGTCGCAGGCCCCGGCGGAGGCGCGGGTGAAGGCTAAGGCGGCGGCGGCCCTGGGCGGCGCGGCGAGGGCGGCGGCGGCCGGGACGCTCCTTGGGCACCCGCCGGCCGCTAGGGCTAGACGGGCGGCATGTCGGAGCACGCGGCGCACGCGGCCCCGGGGCCCGGGCCCAACGGCGGCGGCGGCGGCGGCGGCCCGGCCCCCGCGCGCGGCCCGCGCACCCCCAACCTGAACCCCAACCCCCTCATCAACGTGCGCGACCGGCTCTTCCACGCGCTCTTCTTCAAGATGGCTGTCACCTACTCGCGGCTCTTCCCGCCCGCCTTCCGCCGCCTCTTCGAGTTCTTCGTGCTGCTCAAGGTGACCGGCCTCGACCCCCGACCCCGACCCTTGACCCCGCTGCCCGCCGGCCCCCTTCTGCACCCCGAGGCCTGCGACCTCTGACCCCGGTCGCCTGCCAGTGGTGCCCTGGGGCCGCCGTAGTAAGCCGAGTGTGGTGGTCGCTGGCCCTGGCCGCCCCCAGCCCCAGGCCTGGAGCCCCGCCCTGACCAGCCGCGGCTTTCCCCCCGCCCTTTGACCCCTGACTTTGCATCTGGGATACTCAGCCCTAGGACCCCTCCTGGCAGGTCCTGGGTCTCCCCTGGGGACAGTCTGCTGGGCGTCCACTGGTATCTTCCCCCGATGGGGTCTCCCTGTTCTAGGACCTTCTGCTCGGCTTCACAGGGCAGTGTGTGGACTTGGCTGGGGTCACTGCTAGGGTTAGTGCCTAAGTCATGGCCACCACTCCTCGGGCCTGCTTAGGGAGCTCTGGGCTGGCTGATGGCACCTCCTGTGACCACTTGTGTTCTTCGGGTGACCTGGAGACCTGAGGGCCTTTGGGAAGGACAGGCTGCAGCCTGGGGCCCTCTAGGAAGGAGCCTTTGGTGAAGGAGCCAGCCATGCCCCTGGTTCCAGGTTTCTGACTCGTCCCGGGAAATGGCGGGGCACACTGACGTAGCTCAGCCAGCAAGCTTCCCTTTCCTGTCTGTTGAAACGGGCTGATACTGTTGGACGGGGCGGGCGAGGTTGTGAGCCGGTTCCCAGCCATCTGGCAGACCTGGGACCTGGCCCTGCCACAGCCTTCAAGGGAGTGCCCCAGAGCCTGCAGTCTGTGGTCTGCAGGTGGGCTGGTGTGCCCAGGCCTGAAGAGCTGGCTTCCCCAGGCTGGCACTCAATCCGACGTCCTTCGCCCCTTCTTCCCTGCAGCACCCGAAGGGCTTGGTCTTGTGGGTACAGCTCCACAATCAGGTTGTGGAGGGCTACTGAACCGGGGTCCTTTATCAGGCTCTGTGTTTAGGTGTGTGTTTTCCTTGGGACACGATAGAGTGGCAGTCTCGTCACTGCAGGTGTGTGTTCAATGCTCGGTCCTCTGTCAGCATGGGCCTGGTGGCTCCGCTCTGTCCTTCCCTTTCTGGGTCTGTGTTTGGCCGTCCCTGAAGACCCAGCACCCTTTGCAGGCAGTGGCACTCGGGTAGGCCGTGGGGCTGGGCCACAGCCGGAGGTCTTCCTTGCCCTGCCTAGTTAGAGTGCTGGAAGCTGAGGGCCCGGGGACGCTGGGTTATTTATGGGAACCTGGTGGAGACGCCAGACCCACACTTCTATCTTGTTTGCAAAGCCTGTCTGGGACCAGCTGGTCCTGAGGCTGCACTAGCTTCCCGGAAGCTCCACTCCTCTGCTTCCTGCGCCCCTGCCTGCCCTGCTTCCCCACACTGCTGCAGGGGGAGCGGGACCTGGCTGCCTACCTGTGCAGCCCGTGCTGCTGACATTCAGTCCCCTGTGCCTGAATCTGGGGTTCTTGTCAAAATGGCCCTGTAGTGCCAGACTCTGGGTAGAGGTGGCAACTGGACCATTGTTCAGTGGGGCCCCCTGGAAGGTCACTCTGCTGGCCTCAACATCCACCTCTGCTGGTTTCATGGCCCCAAAGCCAGAAAAGCAGAGACCGGTTAGACCTGGAGCGGCAGGCACCAGGTGCCCGGGCCTGTCTAGTTGGCTTCTAGCCCCGACAGCCAGTGAGTGGATGCCTACAGGGTCAAGGTGTTCTGACATGTGGTACCTGTCACAGGGTGGGCAGTTACTGCCCCTGTGGTCGTGGGAGTAACAGGGTACCCCTTAGGGTCACTGAGGATCAGGAGGACTGTAGAGGTTCACATCTACAGAGCTCTGAACTGGAGACCTGTCCCATTGGCTGTCACCGTAGAAGGCAGTACCCCTGGGATGCTAAGCGGCCTGAGTAGTAGGGAGGGCGGGGACCCCTTGAAGGTTTTCCTGGCTGGGGCTGAGGGGCTCTCTGCACCCTTCCTGGGGAGGAAGTTGTGGCTTATCATTTGATCAACAGAGACGTGGACTGGCAAACAGAGAACGGCCTGCCCGGTGGCAGAGTGTGGGGTTCCCTGAGAACCTGGGGTGTGTACTGAGAAGGTTTCCTGGAGGAGGTCTCAGCATCGCCTTGGCAAGCTGTGTGTCTCTGACCCTCACCCAGGGCTCTGGGGCAGTGCTGAGTGGGCAAACCCAGGGGGAGAGCAACGCCAGGGGCATGGGAAGATGCAGTGGGCAGGGTCTGCAGGTGAAGTACCGGAGCATCTCCCCAAGGTGAGGAGCAGGGTGTCCAGGAAGCAGGGCTGGAGGGCCCTGGTGTGCTGGCTGGGAGCCTGGAGGCTGCTTGTGGGGTGGCCGAGGCAGGCTGTAGAGCAGAGGGTGGGCAGGGCTGGGATGAGGTGGCCGGTGATAGGCCCAGGGGTGTGTGGTCAGTCTGGCTGGGCATTGACTGTTCTTTGCTCTGCAGTGGAGAAATGGAGGCCTGGATGGGAGGCAGGCACTTGCAAGTGGGACGGAGAGTCCTGGCCCTGCTCAGTGAAGAAGGCCACTGGGGCTCAAGCTGGGAGCTCCCTGGGCTGGCCAGTGTGCAGTGGTGGTGGTAGGGGGTGTGGCCCCTGTAAGGGTTGCAGGAGAGGGCACCAGGGTGATGTCTGAGTCACAGCGTTTGGGGCTTGGAGGCACTCAGCTGAGTTCATGCACATTTGTGTGTAAATGCCAGCCTCATTGTCAGGTCGTGTCCCCAGAGAGCTAGTCACTAGAACCTGTGTGGGGTGTGGCAGGGCTTTCATCCAGCAGCCCTCTGCCCCTGCCTCCCACACTGACTGAGATCCTCCTGAGGTCACCCGTCTGCTCATGGTCAGAGGTCAGGTGGAGTCCTCAGTAGTGTAGCTCATGACTGCTTCCAGCTGCTTCTACTGGCCCTGTGACGTCAGCAGGTCTGTGACCTCCGTGCCTCAGTTTCCTCATCTGTAAGGGGGGTGTCAAGAAGTGTGCTCACGGGAAGTGTTGGGAGCCCTGGCTCTGGGCTTGCTGTGTCAGTGCCCTTTGTCACGTGCCAGCCTAGCATCCAGTGCGTCCTGTGGCTAGAAGGGCATCCCAGGCAGAGCTTCGTGCATGTTTGGGCCTGAAGAGCAGAGTGTGGCTGCCAGGAACCCCTCAAAGACCAAGTAGACCCCAAGGTTCAGCTCTGGCTGGCCCCTCCTGTGCAGGAGGCTAAGCAGAGGAACAGGTCAGCTCCTTTGGCCACCTCTGCTGCCTCACTGCCCTCTCCAGGCCTGCACCAGGCTCAGTTCCAGGTACTAGAACCCTGGGCAGGGCTGCTCCTGTCCGCTTTAGCTGCTGGACCTGTCTCCATGGTGCCCTTGGCTGCAGGTGAGGGCAGCTCTCTTCCCAGTTGGCCCAGAAGGAGATGATATGCAGCTTGCTTGCTCCTGGAGCCTCACTCTCCAACTGTGTCCCTTTCTGGTCCCAGCCACTGTGAGTGCTGTGCTGAGCCAGCCCTATGCCCGGTCTGCAGGGACTGCAGAGGTCCTGCCTTTGGCGGTATGCAGCCGGAGGCCACCACAGCCTGCACCTCAGCTTTCCATGACCTGGGCCTCTGTGGGCTGTGGTTTCGTCCAGTCAGCCCTCCCCTGGAGAATCTGGGGCTCGTGTGGCAATACCTAGGCATGGGGGGTGTTGGAGCCTGGGTGGCCCCACTGGCAGGACCCTGCCCTGTGCACCTAGAGTGGGGCAGGGCTGAGTGGTTCTCACCAGGCCCTGCAGAGGGTGCCAGGGTTGGTGCTGTGGCACAGCAACCAGGCTGGCTGTGTGCTGTGAGCAGAACTGTCAGGTGTTGGGGGAGCTCCCTGGAAGAGGGCCTCCTGTGTGTCAGGGCTCTCCCCTCAGCGCATGGACACTGGATGTGCAGCAGTGTCTTGGCCTCTACCACTCCATACCAGTTGTGACAGCCACAAATATCCCCAGATGTTGCCCAGTATCCCCTGGGTCAGGAGAGCCCATGAACCCCCCCAAAAGGCTCTGCACCTTCAAATTGGCCCTGTTGAGTCCCTGAACTGCTGCCCACATGGAAACCCACTCAGTGGGGAGGGGTAGAGGGGACAGTCCAAACCCTCCCTGCTCTGTACCCTCTGCCTCGACAGGAGTCTACCCTGGTGTCTACTGAGAGCAGGAAGTGGACTTTTTCTTTTTTTTTTTTTTTTTGAGATGGGGTCTTGTTAAGTTGCTGAGGCTGACCTCAAACTTGTAATTCTCCTGCGTGGGCCTCCTGAGCCTCTAGAATCAACAGGTGTGCGTCACTGCACCGGGCCCTCCTCAAGTGGTTTTCCACGGGTGTCAGTACTTAGCGTTGGTAGTTGGACATTCTGGGCCAGATCATGCTCTGCTCTGTCTTGTGCATTGCAGAGTGCCGAGCAGCACTCCCGGCAGCCACCAGTCACCCCTGGGATAGTCACCCCATGAGAGTGGCTGCTCCTATTGTTTTAAAATTTTTAATATACATCTTTTAGTTGTAGACGGACACAGTGCCTTTATTGTGTTTGTTTATTTCTGTGCGGTGCTGAGGATGGAACCCAGGGCCTCACACATGCAAGGCGAGCTCGCCCCGCCCTGGTTGCTCCTCTGTTCCCCAGGCAGAGCAGCCTGCCTTGTCCGCACGCACCTGTGTCCTCACAGCTGCTGGACCTGGGAGAGGTGCAGAGGGCTCTTTACAGGGAGGGGAGGCTATTTTTGGCTGGTGAGATCAGGGGCTCTGAGGACACAGCAGAGTGGGAGGCAGGAAACAGCTGCGCAGCCTTGGGGAGCTAAGCTGTGCTGGCGCCTGGACCCTGCAGGTGGCCTGGGGGCTGCAACACCTGGTCGGGGCCTTGAGTGTTGAGAGCAAGTTGGTCAGTGGTGCTGGTTGCTCTGTGCAGTGGCCCCAGCCCAGCCTAGCTCCTCCCAGTGGGGGCCCTGCACACAGCCATGAGGGCCCCACCTCTCACCCCCTGGGGGACCCATGCCCCAGGACCCCTCAGCCTTTCCTGGGCTAGGGGGGCAGGTCATGACCTGGGACACTGATGTCCCCCAGAGTTCTCCTCAGTCACTCCACTTCCTGGGGGTGGCCGGCAGCTGGGAGCATGGATGGCTGGGCATAGGCTGACGGCTGGCTGGCGCCCCCCAGGCCCTGTTCGTGCTGTTCGTGCTGGCCTACATCCACATCGTCTTCTCCCGCTCACCCATCAACTGCCTGGAGCACGTGCGGGACAAGTGGCCACGGGAGGGCATCCTGCGTGTGGAGGTGCGCCACAACTCCAGCCGGGCGCCCGTCTTCCTGCAGTTCTGTGAGGGCAGCCGTGGGAGCTTCCCGGGCCTGGCTGTGGAGCCAGGTGGCCTGGAGCTGGAGGAGGAGGAGGAGGAGCTGACCATGGAGATGTTCAGGAACAGCTCTGTCAAGGTGAGCTGCCTGTGGAGGGCTCAGCAGACCCCGTGACTGCAGAGGTGGGGGTGGTGGCTGCCTGGGAGGCCCTTGGGCCTCGAGGGCGTGGCACAGGCGACCTCTGCCTGCTGCAGCTGGTGTAGCTCTTGGTGACCTTTCCTGCCTCCCTATTGGAAGCAGGGCTGGGGCACTGGGTGCTAGGATTTCCCTGTGGTCACGTGGGGACAGCAGCCAGTTGGGGGTGCTGCAAGCAGCCAGGGGCTGAGCCAGGGCTCAGTCTAAACTGAAGGCACAGCTGCTGCGGGGTGCATCCCCGCCGTCACACTTCAGCAGCTGGGGCTTGAGGCTTGGATGGGCCTGTGCCCTGTGACCTCTGCAGTGTTCAGCTTTGCCTGTGTCCTGCCCTGTCCCTAGCTTCAGAGGTCGGACCCCTCCTGGAGAGGACCACATCAGGGCAGGCTTGGTGTCAGGGTGGGGGTCATCAGCCCCCAGCCCTGGAGGTGGTAGATGCCCCAGCCGGACCTGCTAACGCTCTGGTGCCTGGTTGCCTGCAGTTTGAGCTGGACATTGAGCCCAAGGTGTTCAAGCCTCCAGGTGGTTCTGAGGCCTTGAATGACAGCCAGGAGTTCCCCTTCCCCGAGACGCCCACCAAAGGTACGCACTGAGGCCATGTGCAGGGTGGGTGCTGAAGCCCCTCCCCACCCAGGAGAGTGGGTGTGGGGTGGACTGCCTGACCAGCTGTCCCCGCAGTGTGGCCCCAGGATGAGTACATCGTGGAGTACTCGTTGGAGTACGGCTTCCTGCGGCTGTCACAAGCCACCAGGCAGCGCCTGAGCATCCCGGTCATGGTCGTCACCCTGGGTGAGCCCGACTGCACAGCTGGGGCTGCGGTACCGGGTGGGCCCGCCTTCCCAGGGAGGGCCTCCATCCCAGCAGGCCCTCGGAGGCTTGTCCACCCTGATCCTTACCCACCCACAGACCCAACACGGGACCAGTGCTTTGGGGACCGCTTCAGCCGCCTCCTTCTGGATGAGTTCTTGGGCTACGATGACATCCTCATGTCCAGCGTGAAGGGCCTTGCAGAGAATGAGGAGAACAAGGGTGGGCCCCGTGGGGTGTGGGGGGTGGCGGGAGGGGTTTGGGCAGCACCTGCGCTCACTGCCGCGCCCCCAGGCTTCCTGCGGAATGTGGTGTCCGGGGAGCACTACCGCTTCGTCAGTATGTGGATGGCCCGCACGTCCTACCTGGCCGCCTTCGTCATCATGGTCATTTTCGTGAGTGCTGCGGGGCTTTGAGGGAGGGCGGGAGCCTGCTGGCGGAACCGCGGGGACAGCCCCTGACTGGCGCGGACCTCACTTGCAGACCCTCAGCGTCTCCATGCTGCTCCGCTACTCCCACCACCAGATCTTCGTCTTCATCGGTGAGTCTCAGCCGGCCACGGGGGGCGGGGCGGGCTCGCCCCCAGGCCCTCACGGGTGGCCCCCGCACCCTGTGCCCGCAGTGGACCTGCTGCAGATGCTGGAGATGAACATGGCCATCGCCTTCCCTGCAGCGCCCCTGCTGACGGTCATCCTGGCCCTCGTTGGTGAGGACCCTACCCGGCATCCCCCGCCCCACACCCTCCCCACCCGCTCCAACCTGGTGCCACCTGTCCCTGCAGGGATGGAGGCCATCATGTCTGAGTTCTTCAACGACACCACCACGGCCTTCTACATCATCCTTATCGTGTGGCTGGCTGACCAGTACGACGCCATCTGCTGCCACACCAACACCAGCAAGCGTCATTGGCTGCGGTGAGCTGGGCCCCGACCCACAGGGTCCTGGGGTCAGCATGGCGGCCTCCTCAGCTCACTGCCTGCCTCCTCCAGGTTCTTCTACCTGTACCACTTCGCCTTCTACGCGTACCACTACCGCTTCAACGGGCAGTACAGCAGCCTGGCCCTGGTCACCTCCTGGCTGTTCATCCAGGTGGGGCACACCTTTGAGGAGGGCTGAGCCCGGGCAGAGGGCAGTGTGGGCCCCTGTACCACCCAGCTTTCCCTGCTTTGGAGTCCTCTGGGTGGACTGGTCCCAGTAACTCATTTTTCTTCCCAGTGAGTCAAGGTGGGTGGCAAAGGGGCCTTTCCTGGGTTGTAATGTGGGCAGCCGGCTGACCCTGCCCTCCGCCCGCAGCACTCCATGATCTACTTCTTCCACCACTATGAGTTGCCCGCCATCCTGCAGCAGGTCCGCATCCAGGAGTTGCTGCTGCAGGCGCCGCCCCTGGGCCCCGGGGCCCCCACGGCGCTGCCCGACGACCTCAACAACAACTCAGGCCCTCAGGCGGCCGCCACTGGCCCTACAGGCCAGCCCCTTGCTCTGGGCCCTGGCTCGACTGGAGCTGCTGGGGGGCCTGGGCCCGGGGCTGCAGCTCCCAGTTCACTGGGGGCTGTAGCCGCCTCGGTAGCCGCGGCCACTGGGGGTGACCTGGGCTGGATGGCAGAGACAGCAGCCATCATCACAGACGCTTCTTTCCTGTCTGGCTTGAGTGCCACCCTCTTGGAGCGGAGGCCCGCTGGACCCTTGAGCCCCAGTGGAGGACTCTCCCATGCCCCCCAGGACAGTGCTCCCCAGAGTGACCCCGTGGCACCTGACACAGCCTCCCCCACAGACATGGGGGCTGAGCCCAGTCCTGCATCCACGGTCCCAGGAGAGGCACCCTCCGAGGTCGGGTCCTGAGCCCCCACCAACAGCTGAGCCGCCTGTCAGGGCTTCCCCCTGGGGAGCTATTGGGCACCTTGCAGCAGCCCCTCGGGGCGGGGCAGGTTGTCCCCGTGGGGCACCAGGGCCCTCCCCCCTGGATTGCCCCTTCTCTCCGATTGGGGTCTCATCAGGTTTGTGGAAGGTGGGTCCCTGTCTCCCAAGTGTGGGGCCTGGCCAAGGCTTGTCCTGGTAGTGAGCTTGTTTGTGGTGGTCTGCGAGGACAGGGGTCGGGGGCTCCCGGAAGTTCTGAAGGGGGCTTGGTGCGAGGTCTGGAGTGCACCGTTCCAGGGGCAGCGCAGGGCACCAGTCGGGCAGGTCTGAACAAGGTAACCAGATGGGAGTGGGCTGGGCAGCTTCGCCCTCATGCCCCGAGGGCAGGGGGCTGTCGGGCCCAGCCCTGCCTGGTGCTCCCTGTGCAGTGCCTTCTCCACGGCTGACCCTCCCCGTGTGCACCAGGCCTGGGGTCCCCAAGAGGGCAGAGCTGTGTCTGGGGCACAGGTGCCAACATCAGTGCCTGGGGTGCCCGGGTCCAGCCGTGCTCAGGGCGGGAGTGGGCCAGGCGGCCAAGCCAATCACGCGGTGAGGAATGCAGAGCAGCGCTCATTCCATTCTATTTAATTGCAGTGTACACAGTCGTGTCTGTATATAGAATAAACTCCGTGAACAGGGTTGGGTCTGCCCTCGCATGTGCGCGGGGGAGGGTCTGCAGCTGGATCTTATCCAGCGTTGGATCACGGGGCGTCCTCAGGTGCGGCTTGGGCTTGGAGCAGGCGCAGTGGCCGCTGGCGAGCGCTGTCCCCAAGTCGAACTAGGAGCTCCCCGCGCCGCATCAGAGCTCGGCGGAGCCTTTCGCGGACGGCCTCGATGTGCCGCTGCAGCTCCTCCAGCTCGCCGCTCGGCGACCTCGCTGGCATAGCAGTGGGTGGTGGCCCGTTGGAACAACTCCAGACTGGACTTTCGGGGGTCCCAGGCTCCGCCTCCGCCCCTCCCTGGGCGGCTGCCATCCCTGGCTCCAGCAGGAAGCGCACCCTACGCTCCTTGCCCACCGCCCGGCGCACTCGTTTCCAGCGCCCTGGACCCTCGGGGTAAGCTGAGGTGTCTTGCTGCTCCTGCTGCTGCTCCCGGCCACTGGGGATGGGACAGGGCTAGGTAATGAACCCGGGCAGCCGCGGCCCTCTGCCACCGGGGGATGCGAGGACTTGTGAAGGGGCCTTCGACAAGGCCTGGAAGTATGTGAAGAGGACCCGCCCCCTACGTCGGGCCCCCCGCTGGCGGGCGCAGCTGTTCTTTACCTGGGCTCCGGCTCCAGCCTCTGCCTTTGCCCTTCCCGCCGTTCTGTGTTGAGAGCCCGGTGAATTTTCTAAGATCCCAGACAAGCCCGGTTGGTGGTGGGGTCGGCGGCGGGTGCTGTCCCCGCTGTGCCCACGCACCGACGGCCCTCACCTGGCTGGTGTGCAGCCAGTACTGCAGCCTGCTGCCCCTGCGGATGCGCGGCAGCACCAGGCGGAAGAAGACGTGCTCGCACAGCGAGCTGAGCAGGGCGCTGCCCAGGCCCAGGCAGAGCAGCACGAAGAGACCCGAGAAGTGGTAGATTCCCATCTGGAGGGTCTGGAGCAGGACACAGGATGCTCTCACCGCCACGAAAGCAGACCGCTGGGGAGTCCTCACGTGGCGCCAGAGCCAGGCTGGGCGCACGTGAGGGCTCGTGGAGGGGGTGTAGGAAGGGCACCAACGCAGATGGACATCTTGGGGGTGAGCAGGGGCCGAGCGCTTCGCCCGCTAAGGTGTCACGCACTCCGGGGCCCTGCCTCACCTCAGTAACCGCGAAAACCCGCTTCCCGCAAGGCACCATCTTGTACCACTTGTCGTGGAGCAGGTCGATGAACCCCGAGGACTTGTAGCGGCTGATGAACTCGGACAGGTTGGAGGTGAGCGGGGAGTTCTGGGGCAGGCCGATGCCGTAGCCTGGGGGCGCGGGCCGGGACACGGCCCCGGGAAATTGTACCCAGCATGTCCGACCTGGCCCTGCCCCCTGGCGCCCCCGTGGCTCTCCACGGGCGCGACCCCTCCCATGCCCTCACCCTCGATGGCGAAAGGCTTGCCCACGGTCAGCAATTTGCAGTCGGCGTCGATGGAGACCTCATAGTCCAGGAGCGACTTGTCCATGATGAAGGCGTTGAGCTTGGGGGGGTCGCTCCTGTGGGACCAGGTGGAGTCAGCCGGCCACCGGCTCCGCGCCCGCCCCGGCCCGGCCCTGCCCCCGCCTCACGTGAGCATGGCGACGCCGTCGGGCGTGGTGGGCGCGCTGTGGCGCCGCATGTGCGCGTGCATCTCGGGGAAGCTGGCCTTGATGTAGGCCTCAGCGCTGCTCTCCCGCACGGTGCCGAAGCGGAAGCCCTGCGACGGGTGGTGCAGCTGCGTGGAGAGGCGTCGGGCCTGCTCAGCCCCGCGGCCCTGCCCTCTCTTCCCAGAGCTCCCGCAGCCCGACAACCACAGATGCCCCCAGGCCCTGCCCAGGGTTGGGGCGCAGCATCTCGCCAGGTTGAGACCCTTTTGGACACCCACATGTTTGTCTTTACAAGTTGGACCAGAATTCCACTCTTTTCCCACTTAGAATCCCACAGGATCCCCGAACACCCATCTCTCCCCAACAGCCCCCTGCACCTGCTCCTTGGCTTCCCACCCACCGTGCTTCTCCTGCCTCACAGCCCACTGCCTTCTCCATCTGCAGAACACCTGGACCTGGACCCTCCCATTTTCCTTTCCATCCTCAACCACATGCCCCAGAGTCAAAGCCCAAGTCTTCCCTGCAGCCCATAGGACCCCAAATAAGCTTCCCTGTCCTCCCTGCCTCCCATCCTCCTCTCCCCGCCCTTCATCTTCTGTCTCCCTCCTGCCTTGCTCCAGCCACACTGGCTTTTAGCTGAGCTGTGGGGCCCTGCCTGCCCCAGGGCCTTTGCACAGCTGTGTCCCCTAACTGGATCGCTTAATCACAGACATCACAAGACCACTTGCTCAAGCAGGAGGGTGTCATGTGAGGACTCTGCTTATCTGTCAGGATTCTCTGCCTGTTTTGTCCACAGAGCATGGAACATACTAGGTGCTCAATAAATGTCTTTGGGGACTGTGGCATAGTTTAGTGCTTACCTGGGTTCCTCTCCCAGCAGCAAAAAATAAACATATCTGCCCTGAGATCCACCTTGCCACGCACCATGAGCCCCAGTGAAGCCCCTGGAGCCCTGGTACCCAGGCTGCCCACCTTGGGGTCGTGGATCCCTGACAGCTCCTCGAAGGTCTTGTCCCCAACCATGACTGCGGCCAGGTTGGCCGTGTAGCTGGACAGCACCAGCAGGCAGAAGATGGCCCAGAGGTTCATGAGGAAGCGCCCTGTGGGGCACTTGGGGGTCTTGCTGGAGACAGTGCGTCCGAAAAGGATGGCGTAGCACAGGTTGAGGGCAGAGGAGTAGGAGAACACCGTGCCCCGGTTGCGCCCGCGGGGCGTGAGCCCGTAGGGGCTGCGCCACTCGTACAAGGTGAGGAAGAGCGCCGTGAGGTGCAGAGCCGCGAAGACCCCCAGCCACATGGACCAGTGCAGCGGCCACATGAAGGCACCGATGGGTGAGGCCGTGTCCCGCGCCCGCACCAGGATGCCCAGGCTGGTAGAGAAGAAAGGGCTGGTGAAGTCCATGACCTGCGAGCGTGCCGAGTTGATGCTGAAGCTGGTGACCGCCATGTGGGCCCTGCCAGCCAGCAGGTCACCCACCAGGCCAGTCCAGCGGCCGTCCCGCAGAGCGCCATATTTGCCATCACCCACGATGTACAGCTCAAAGTCGAAGGGTGCGTCCTCGGCCAGCCGCTCCAGGAGGTCAATGCAGTAGCCGTAGCAGCATTTGCGCAGGGTGTGGGGCACTGAGCCATTGGCTAGTGCTGCAAACAGAGTGTCCAGGACAGCCGAGTCATTGGTGCCAGGGTCCAGGCACAGCTGCCCTGCCGGGCACTGCCCGTCCTCGTCCGGCTCGCGGGCAAACACAAACGGGTGCTCCACCAGTGTCACCACACGCAATTTGGGTCTGGCCCTGGCACCTGTTGGGGGTGGGAGCTGGGAAGCAGTGCCCCCTGGCTCCAAATCCAGCTGTCCGTCCCGCCAGCTGCCCACCGTGGCCCAGGCTGGGGCGCCCAGTGGGTCCCGGAGAAGGCTCCACACCTTGAAGCTGCGAGAGAGGTGCACCTGCGAGGTGCTGGTCACCCACACGGGCCCCGTGCGGCCCTGGAAGGACGTGTTGGCCAGGAACCTGGGGGAGGGGCTCAGGAGGTCAGCTCCCCACCCAGGGAGTGTGGCCAGCTCTGCTTCCAGGAGGTGTCCTCACAAAACTGGGCCTCTGAGGTTTGGGCGGGGGGTGTTGCCTTCCTTGGTACTGAGGGCTGAACCCAGGGACACCCTACCACTGACCACGTCCACGGCCCTCCATACTTCACTGTGAGACAGGGTCTCTCTAAGTTGCTGAGGCTGGCCTGGAATTTGCGACCCTCCCCCCTCAGCCTCTGGAGCGGCTGGGAAGTGTGCGCGCGGCGCTGGGCTGTGGTCGCAGGGTCTTGGAGAAGCAGAGCTGGCGCGATGGCCCTGCTCCTCAAGGCCGCTCCCGGGTTGGCTTTGGGTGACAGGAGGTGCCCGGGGGTGCAAGGCCCTTTCACCAGACTCAAGGTAGAGCTCACACTTCAGGGGCTCTGTGGCTGCAGGCTGAGATGTGCCCCTTCCTGCAGGGCTGTCCTGCAGGGCCACCAGTCCCTAGTGAGTCCTCTCACCCCGGCCCCCTTCTTGGTCTCTCTGCTTCCACCTGAGACAAAACCCGCTGTGTTCTCAGGCCTCCAACACAGTGCAGGGGCGACCCTACGGGGCGGACAGCCTTTCCAAAGCAGGGTCCCCACTCACTGAGCCAAGAAGCGCCCGGGGGACTCTGGTCCTGCTGGCTCCCGGTCCTCGCAGTTCGCCATGGCCAGGAGGAGTGCCTGCTCTGGCTGCACACGGGCTGCACTACCCAGTGCCCGGGCCACCAGCTCCACGGCGTCGTGGATAGTGGCCTCCAGTGAGGGTCGGGCCACCTCGCCCAGTGCCAGCAGCCCAGGTGGCAGGCCAGCCGTGGGCAGGGCCTCGGCAGGCAGTGGCGTGCCCAGCAGCCAGCGCGGCCCAGGAGGGGCAGCCCGCAGCACCTGTGGAGCGTGGGTGGTGTCACAGCCGAGGAGGACGGCCACGGGGACTGGGGACTCACCTCCCCCTGGTGTCCCCAGTGGGGCCAGGCGTGTGCGCAGCCCCACATCCCCCACGTCTGGCCGACTCAGGTCCAGCAGGATCCTCGGTGCCCAGCCAGCCCGGCTTGTCCAGAGGGCCACCAGGCCAGCGGGATCCCGGACACGGCAGAGCACCAGGCCGACGTCCTCCCAGCCGTGCGCCTGCAGCAGGGACACCAGCACGTCCAGCAGCGTCTCCAGGGGGCTGGCCCAGTCCAGCTGCAGGTGGAACGGGGTCTGGGACAGGGGTGCTGCTGTCAAGGCCGGCAGCCGCCTTGTCCCCTGCACCTGCACTCCTGTCACTGACGGGCAGGCTGGCCGCCCCTCCCCAGACGGCCCCGGCGCCAGGCCTTCCGGGCCGACCCCCTCCCGCAGGCTTGACCTTCACCTGAGGGTGGCAGGGGCACTCAGCCTGGCCCCGGTCACGGCTCACTCTGGGATTTCCCCCGTCACCCCGAGCAGGCGTGCTCTTCTCTCTTAAGGGAGGCGCCCACCCCTGTGTGTCCTTCAGACCCCAGGCCTCTCCCTCTGTGGCCCCCCTCTAAACACCCCGTCCCCGGGCCCTCCCTCTCTGCACTGGGCTTGCCTGCCCGCCCCGCCTCGGAGCTCCTCCAGGGCTGAGGGCAGGGACTCCACTGCTCAGAGCCCAGCCTCCACTAGGAGCCCTCCTCACACATTACCGCGGGTCCCCGGGGCTCTGAGTGAGGGCAGGACTGCTTACCAGACACCTAGGGTGGGCAGGACACACTGCCTGGGTGGACAGGGTGCTAACTGGCCAGGGTTGAACTGGGAGACCTAACTCAGTCCCTGGGGGACCAGACCAGTCCCAAGCCCAGGGCCCCAGTGGCAACGCATGGACGCAGTTTCTGGAGGTGGCAGCAGAGGGCGCCACACAGCTGGGTTTGGGCCCCGAGAGCTGGTTAGTGTGACCTGCCTCTCCAGTCAGGGCCTCTCCTCCCCCAGGAGAGGGAAGGCCAGGCCGGGTGTCTCCAAGATGGGTTTGGAAGGAGTGAGGAGACCCGCTGGGAGCCAGTCCTGAGGTTGGCCCTTCCTGCTGGCCCCAAAAGGGGCATCTTCCTCTGGGTACAGTGGGCCCTGTTGGGGGCCTGGGGCCCTACCAGCCACCCTGCTCTCCTCCTGGGATCTGGGGCTGGGATCAAGAAGAGAGTGAGTCCAAGGGGGTGTGAAGGTTCAAAATGACTCCAGGTCAGCAGGAGCCTGTGAGGTAGGGGCTGCCTGCCCTCCAGGGTCTCTGGAGGGAAGGAGAGGACCATGGAGAAAGGAGGTCTGAACCCGCACCCCTGAAACTGCACACTGCAGGTGAGGAGGGAGACCCCTGCCCTCCCAGCCTAGGGACATCAGGAGCCCTTGATCCAGGGTGCCTGGATCCACCTGGCAGGAAGGGGGCAGGGGTCTGCCTCCATCACCCCGGGGATGGTCTTCCCAGGAACCCTGCGCCTCAAAGGACAGCCGGTCTTGTGGGGCCAGGCCTCCAGATCGGGTACCCTGGGGTTCCAGTCGCCTGTCCGGTTCCTGCCCTCCGGGGCAACCCGGGTCTTCCATGTCTAAGTCCCCATCCCTGTGCCCTGGGTCATGCGGCGTCCAGGGGTTCGGTTCCCGCGGGCGCGCCTTGGAGCAGCCCCAGCCACCCCAGCTCCCGACCCACTGGCGGTTGTCCGCGAGTACCGGGGCGCCGAGGGGCGCGCGCGCCTCCCGCCGCAGCACGCTGAGCACCGGGGTCTCCGTGGCAGCGGCCAGGAAGTGCAGCTGCAGCAGCTCGGGTCGCGACTCGGGGAAGGCCAGCAAGGCTGCCACGCCCGGGGAGGCCAGCGTCTGGCACAGGCCGCGGGCCATCGAGGCGGGGTCGCGGGCAGGGGGCGCGGCGGCCACAAGCTCCAGGCTGAGGTTGTGCGGCAGCGGCGGCTCCAGGGCAGCCCGGGCCAGCGCGGTGCGGGCGCGGGCGCGGGCAACGGATGCACGAGGCAGGAGGGCGCCCAGGCGCACTGAGCCCCCCAGGCGCGCCAGAACACCACACGGCTGCGGGTGGCCGCGGGCGGACCCGGGCGCCAGCGCCAGCGCCAGGCCGAGCCACAGCGCCCGCACAAACTCCATCGCAAAGTTGCCAGTGGAGGGTGGAGCCGCGATGCCACCGCACGGGAGGGTTCCTGCTCCTGCCGGCGGCGCGCCCTCCCGGCCGCCGCCGCCTGCGTGCCCAGCCCAGCAGCCCGCCAGTGAGCAGCGGGCCGGCCGCCTGGCTTGCAGATGACTGGCGGCCCACTAGGGAGCGGCGGACTGTGCCTGGCAGGGCTGGGTACTTGCCAGCCAGTCATTTCCCATCCTACGGATGAGGAAACCACCAGGGAGGGAGTTGGGGCCTCAGAATTGGCTCACACCCCCACCGATCTCAGGATCCTGGATCTCCCTGGCCTCCCAGCCTGGGGACGTTTCCCATTGATCAGGTGGGAAGACTGAGTCCCAAGAGGGGCCAGATCCACCCCACTTCCAGAGAGCAGCTTCTACCCCGACAAGCGACAAGCACCATCAACATTGTGTATTCTGGGGAGTGAGGCGAACGTCAGGGATGGAGAGTTATTGAGTGGGTCTGCTCTCCAGCCCTGGGCGGGCAACTTGGACCAGAGAGCTACTACTGTTCATCCTTTAAAAACCAGTACCAGATGCCCCACTCTGAAACATTCCCTCCTTCCACCCAGGAACTTGCAGAAGCACCCCTCACCCTGTCTCCTCCACCCCAGGCTCTCATCCTGCTGTTGTGTCTGAGACCTTCTCTCCCACTCTGCTCTGGGAGGGCAGAGGGGGGTCTGACTCGGTCACTCCTGTCTCCA